ATGTATACAACGACCCATCCTGCTCCCATTTCTAACTTTATCTAACACCTTTACATACAAATTGTCTTCATTCTTTTACATATATATGTGTGTGTGTGAGTGTGTATAATTGTGCTTAATAATAGAGACATGAAAAAAAAATGAGGGAAGACAATAACAAACAAGCAGCCAATCAATATTTCATTTAAACCTGTAAATAGATGTGATGTGGTACTGATAAGAGTGTATATTTTGTGTATTTAAAGTGGAGAGTTCTATAAATGTTAATTAAGTTTAGTTGTTCTGGATCTGAGTTCAAATCCTGGATATTGTTGTTAATTTTCTGTCTCATTGATCTGTCCAATATTGATGTCAAAGTCTCCCACTATTATTGTGTGGGAGTCTAAGTCTCTTTATAAGTCTTATATATCTGGGTATTCCCGTATTGGGTGTGTATATATTTAGGATCTTTAGCTTTTCTTGTTGCATTGATCCTCTTATCATTATGTAATATCCTTCTTTGCTTCTTTTGATCTTTGTTGCTTTAAAGTAACTCCTGCTTTTTATTTATTTATTTATTTTTGCTCTCCATTTGGTTGGTAAATCTTTCTCCATCCCTTTGTTTTGAGTCTTTGTGTATCCTTGCACGTGAGATGGGGTTGGATGCAGCATACCGATGGGTTTTGGCTTTTTTTGCCTGTCTGTGTCTTTGGATTGGGGGATTTAGTCGATTTAAATTTAGAATTAATAATAATATATGTGAGTTTAATACTGCCATTTAATGTTAGCTGGCTGTTTTACCTATTAGTTGATATAAATTCTTGATTATGTTGATGCTCTTTACTTCTTGGTATTTTTTAGAAAGGCTGATACTGGTTATTCCTTTCTATGTGTAGTGGTTCTTTCAGAAGCTCTTGTAAAGCAGGCCTGGTGGTGATGAAATCTCTGAGTGCTTGCTTGTTCACAAAAGATTTTATTTTTCCTTCGATTATGAAGCTTAGTTTGGCTGGATGTAAAATTCTGGGTTGAAAGTTCTTTTCTTTAAGGATGTTGAATATTGGCCCCCACTCTCTTCTAGCTTGCAGGGTTTCTGCCGAGAGATCTGCTGTGAGTCTGTTAGGCTTCCCATTATGGGTAACCTGACCTTTTTCTCTGGCTGCCCTCAGTATTTTCTCCTTCATTTCAACCCTGGTGAATCTGGCGATTATGTGCCTTGAGGTTGGTCCTCTTGAGAAACATCTCTGTGGTGTTCTCTGCATTACCTGGAGCTGAACACCATCCTGCCCCACTAGGTTGGAAAAGCCTTCCCGAACAATATCCTGAAGCACATTTTCCAGCTTGGACTGACCCTCCTCGTCACATTCAGGTACACCTGTCAAGGATAGATTAGGTCTTTTCACATAGTCCCATATTTCTTGGAGACTTTTCTCTTTCCTTTTTATCCTTTTTTCTCTAATCTTGTCTTCTCATTTTATTTCATTAAGTTGGTCTTCGACTTCTGATATCTTTTCTTCTGCTTCATCGATTCGGCTGTTAAAACTTGTGCATAGTTCGCGAAGTTCTCGTGTTGTGTTTTTCATCTCCATTAATTCACTTATATTGCTCTCTAAATTGTGTATTCTTGTTAACATTTTGTCAAACCATTTTTCAAAGTTCTTAGTTTCTTTGCATTGGGTTAGAACAAGTTCTTTTAATTCACAGAAGTTTCTTATCACCCACCTTTTGAAGACTGCTTCTGTTCATGAAACACACTTGTTCTTCATCAGGCCTTGTACCGTTGCTGATGAGGAACTGTGATCCCCTGTAGAGGGAGAGGCATTCCAATTTTGGGAATTCTCAGCCTTTTTAGGCTGTTTTCTTCCCTATAAATTATAAATTTACCCATCTGTGGTCTTTATAATTACCATCTTTATAATTGGGTTTCTGAGTGGACGTCCAACTTGTTGATTCCCAGCGCTAAAATCTGAGCAACCCACCGCGCCAACCAGAACAGCAGCATTATGATTGATGGTGCTTTTCTGACTCTGCACCAAGAACCACCGCACCAAGGCAGCGGCTAAACCGCCTCGCCGGCCACAAGAGTCACGCTGTGACCTGTGGGGCTCCTCTGCTGGGAATCTCCTGGTGCGTGAGCAACAAAAATTCGTCTGAAAGTGTGGCATCCTCTCATTCTCTGTGCTTTCACTGGAAGCTACAATCCCGAGCTGCTAGTGATCAGCCATCTTGGATCTCTCTCCTAGATCATCAGTCTTATTAGTTTCTTGTGACCTATCCTGGGTATTCTGCATAGAGTAATACTAGTAATAACAAATACAAATAATAGAAAAATGTATTCTTATCCTTCTTCCTTTCTTACATAATAAATACCATCACACATATGCTATTATGTCTTTACATTTTCATTTACTTATACATCCTACAGGTGTTTGCACACCTTTACATACAAATTGTCTTCATTCTTTTACATAGCTGCATAGGACTCAATATCTGTATAAATCATTGTTTATTTAATCAGCTCTATTCAGATGAAACTTTTGTTCTTCCTAATGTTTTGTTATCACAAACAATAAAATGGTATTTGATATGGTTTGGCTGTTCTCCTACCCAAATCTCATTTTGAATTGTAGCTCCCACAATTCCCACATGTTGTGGGAGGAACCCAGTGAGACTTAATTGAATCATGGAGGTCTTTCCTGTGCTGTTCTCATTATAGTGAATAAGTCTCACAGGATCTGTTGGTTTTATAAAGGGAGTTCCCCTGCACAAGCTCTGTCTTGCCTGCCGCCATGTAAGACATCCCTTACTCTTGATTGTGAGGCCTCCCCAGCCATATGGAATTATGAGTCAGTTAAAACTTTTTCCTTTATAAATTACCAGGTCTTGGGTATGTCTTTATTAGGAATACAACATAAAGTTACAATTGAAAAAATATGTGTGTATCATTATATATAATACAATGAATGACAAAAGTTTATCAATGTGATATATTAATTGATCATAAAATGTTCTGGCCTCCTTTTCTGTAAATTTATTTAATCATTCAAATTTATATATTTTTTAGCTTCACCTTCAATAGATGTAATTGAAAGTGAAGTCTGTTGGTTTGGCAAATGCAAGATTGTGATTAAATTTTGATAGTTTTTAATTTTGAGAAGGCTCATTTTTCTGATACAGCTATTAGTAGAACTGGGAAGAATATTTTATGGACTGTGACAACATTGGGATACATTTAGAATATAAATTTCAGTACATATGGAGTTGATGGTTTCTTTGAAGAAATTCTTTAAAAGGATTTAACTCTTGATATAATGGGATTTATAACAGTTCGAATTAATTTTAAATGTACATTCATACCATGAAATGTTAATGTTTGCTCTGACATTACCTATAACTTGTGGAGGATGTACAAGAGACTGAATTTTCTATATGCCTACTGTTTTTCTGAACGCTTGTTCTAGTCATAAAATAATAATTAAAAGGAGAATATTATTCTAATAATAATCTATTATTAGAACATGTAAGAATGAATGAGATAAGAGTGTCAATTTCCAACTAATAATTTTAAATATTGCTATCTTTCACTTTTTTCAGCTCTTGCTTCTTGAACTGTGAAGCTCTGTTGTCATATGTATACACAGTTAGAATTGTTATGTCATCTTGGAGAACTGACATATTCTATTCCAGTTAATATTCTTTTTTTCTAGAAGGCTATATGAATATATTTCTCTTTTTTGACATCATTATATTAAGATTTCTTCTTGACCATTGTTTTAATAATACTTGCAGAATGGAGAGGATGTTAAAACAGTGCTCATTTTACTATCTTGTTTTATAGGCATTTCCTTTTGAAATATGTACTTGAAAAATGAATCTGTTTTTTTCTTGAAATCCCAATAACTAGACCTTCCATGAAAAACCATTGAAGTATGTCATCTTCTTTATTAAGTTGTTGATCTATTCCTTCTTTGCATCAGTTTGTTATACATTCTATATACTAATATTTTCTTATTTATATGTATTACAGATATCATTATCCACACTGTAGCTTGTCTTTTTTTTTTTTTTTTGGAGATGATGGAGTCTCACTCTGTTGCCCAGGTTGGAGTACAGTGGTGCAATCTCGGCTCACTGAAACCTTCGCCTCCCAGGGTCAAGTGATTCTCCTGCCTTAGCCTCCCAAGCAGCTGGGATTACAGGTGCCTGCCACCACACCCGGCTAATTTTTGTATTTTTAGTAGAGACAAGGTTTCAACATGTGGGCCAAGCTGGTCTCAAACTTCTGACCTTAAGTGATCTGCCTGCCTTGGCCTCCCAAAGTGCTGGGGTTATAGGCGTGAGCCACCACACCTGATCATAGCTTGTCTTTTCAATCACTTTATTGGACAGCTTGATTAACATAAATTCTTAATCTTAACTAAACTCAATTTTTCAACATTGTGAATATTTCTGTCTCTGAAAAGATAACTAATTTTATAAGGGCAGAAATAGTAGCTATTTTGTTTTCTATACTCTCAACACTTTAAGATTATATTTGGCCAGGCACTGTGGTTTACACCTGTAATCCCAATACTTTGGGAGGCCGAGGCAAGCAGATTGCTTGAGGTGAGGAGTTCAAAATCAGCCTGGCTAACATGGTGAAACCCCGACTCTACTAAAAATACAAAAATTAGCCAGGCATGTTGGTGCAGGCCTGCAATCCCAGCTACTCAGGAGGCTGAGGCAGTAGATTCGCTTGAACCTGGGAGGTGGAGGTTGCAGTGAGCCAAGATTGTGCCACTGCCCTCCAGCCTGGGTGACAGAGACTGTATCAAATATACATATATAATTTGTTTGGTTTTCCACGATAAGCTATTTTAAAACAAAGATTCTGAATTCTGTATGTTTTCTATGGATAGTTTTGTTAGAGTTAAATTTTTTTTTCTAAGTTATTACTCAAGACATGCTTGTCTATTGTGCAAATAACAGTATGATCATTGACAAACTTTGCCCTCATTTCCTATTACTCATTAAACCTTGAAGTTGCACTCAACACAACTGTATCTGAATAACAGATAAAATTTTGACCTTACTATGCCAACCCTAAGTGAGGCATAAGTTACTAAGTGGGCAACTCTATATTCAAAAAAGCAAGATAAATCTTTTGGGTGGGGCTGAAGCACACCACTCATTAATGTAATTTATCCAGGCATATTATGTAAGGTTACTTTCTGTGTTTCTGAAGAAGACCAAGAAGCAGACAGTACACCATGGGAAGAAAATTGCTGTACCTTCTGATTGTGGGGATCTTCACAGCATATTACATTTATATGCCTCTCCCAGATAACATTGAGGAGCCGTGGAGAATGATGTGGTTGAACACACAGTTGAAGACTGCAGAAAAATTAGTAAGTTTGGAATTTTATGAATTTAGCTGTGCATATACCACCACTTGACCTGGAGAAGTAAAGTTTTCAAGATTCTATTCTCTTGATTTATTGACTTATTAATATTTTAAAATAACTGCTGTGGCCTTTGAGAATGTATTACTTAGAAATGTTATTTGTTTGTTTTCTGTCTTGTATATTGGAATCACGTTTAAAAATATCAAGAACGGCAAGCAGGGAGCCATTTGAGCAGGTTTCACTAAAAATACTTTCTTTGGGTAGCTTGAATGTCGTGATAGTGGCTCTCCTTTGAAATTCTTATCTTAGGTATGGTTTGTTACTTAAATTTTATATTCAAATTAGAGCTTATCTGATTATGTAGCACTGTGTTCATTATAGATTTTTATGCACTCATCTTTGGATTCAGAGTATAGCCTAAGGACACGTAAATAAGTTCTCAAGAAAATATTCCATAGGCAGGCTGGTTGGCACATGCCTAGGGTTAACTATGAGAGGCATGATATGCAGAAATGAAAGGGGAAGGGAGGCCTCGGTGTCCTGGCAACTGGCTGCTTGCCAGGGCAGCTCAGATGCTGGCATTTAAAAAGGTGTAGCTCTCACTGGATCCTGAAAAATATTTTTCTATTATTTCTTTGGTTATTTTATTATCTTCATTTAAAAAAATCTCTTTTCAGGACATAAACAAGATGGATGTTGTACGTAACTCCTGGACTAATCTTTTATTTGGCATTTATTTAACAATTCAACTCTGTCAAATCCTATTAGACAAACAAAGAATCTGTCCCCACACAGTTGACATTCTAGTAGTGGAGAAAAAAATAAATTAGAATCAAATAAGTAAATGATTTCAGTTCATGAGAAGTACATTGAAGGAGGAAAGATGGAAGAAAAGAGAGTAATTTGGGCAGAAGGCAAGAGTGGGCTACTGCATGTATGGTGAGAAAAAGCCGTACTGAAGAGGAAACATTTACTTAGGGACCAGAAGAATGAAAAGAAACTAATCATTCTGAGTGCTAAAAAACACATTATCCAGCAAAGATAGCAGCAAGTACAAAAATCCCAGCTACAAAATATTGACAAGTCCAAGAAATCATATGAAACATTTGGGTTTACCGGGGAAATTGTTGCAATTAGTTTGGAGAGGTTAGAAGCCATATCATACAGTGCTTTGTGGACAATGGTAGTGAGTTTTGATTCATTCTGCATGCTATGCAGAGCTATTAAAGAGCTTTAAGGAAGGGACACATTTTTTTCTCATACTTACTGTCTATACCACAATATGTGAGAGGTCTTTGATTTTTTTCTTGGGGTCTTTCTATTACATTTTTATTTATTTAAGCAATCATATATATATACACACATATATATACACACATATATATACACACATATATATGTTTATATATATATATGTTCTTCTCTGGTAGACTTTTAATTCATTTATTCATTAATTTACTCACATTCTGTCCACAATTTATGAATGTAACATATTTTCAGAGCTCTCAACAGATATACCTTTTAAAAGTTGTTTTAATGCCTTTCTCCTTCCTGAATTACCTGCTTCTTTGTTTGTTTGCTTTTTTTGTGGTCAATTATTTGCCCTGTTCATCTGCTTTTTCCTGATTAGCAGACTGGCTTCTCTGAAACCTTTGGCAGTCTCTGAGTGTTCATACCCTTTATTAAAAGATTATGTTATGAACATTACATCAAGAATTAAACTACTGGATTGAGAATCCTTCTAAATATCATTTACTAGCTTTGTAGGCATGCATGACCTATTAACCCTTCCTGGACTCACTTTCCTCATATCTGACATGGATATATAATGCTATCTACAGTCTATGTCAGCAAGTTGTTAATATTACTGAGATGACTACACATAGAGTGCTCTGAACGCTGACTCATTCCACAGTGAAAGGACGGACTGCAGGAAGGCAAGCTACCTCTTTTTTCCTCCCACTCATTCCTGCCTCCCACATATGCCTCCCAGCTCCCATGTGCAACCAGCTCTATAGCCACACCTCACTGCACCAGTAAGAGCCTCCCTCTCTAAACAAGTTCCTCCACCTGGGAGGGTTTTTCCTTTCCTTACTTGGTCAGCAAAACACTTAGGAAAAGGTATTTCTTTCAAGCCTCAGATAAAGTTGCTTTTTCTGTTTGAAAACAACCTTCCAGTTGCTGCTCCCAGGTAGCTTCTGTAAACACCTGCTGTTTACTCCCAAAGTACCTTGTACAGAGCTCTGTAATCGTATTTACATTGTTTTTTGTTTGTTTGTTTGTTTTTTAACAGTTCACTCATCTGTCTTTCACACTTAACTGAGATTCTTGAGAGGAGCATTTGTTTGGTTCATCTCTGAAACCCTAAAGCTTGGTAGAAAACCTGACACATTTTAGTGAAATAAGAACTAAATTAGTCGCAGGAGTCAAGATAAAACTGCCTCTTTGCCCTCTGAAGATTGCTGAAAGTCAACTGACAGGTCTGGTTAATAGGAGAAAAGGCAGGTACATTTTTTAGCATGCATAATAGATTTACAAAATATAAAATCTCAAAGAAATGGCCAGATGGTTGACGCTTTTTTTGACTATCTTGAGGTTGCGGAAAGAATGGTGGCTTGGCCAGAAAACATTATGTGGCAAGACAGGTTATGGGACGAAGAGAAGTGGAGACATGGCTAGCAAAAGTGGTCTTGCTATATAGATGGAACATCATAGATAGCAGCCCTCAGAGAGAATAGATGGTAAACATTTCTTTCAGACATTTAAAGGTGTCAGCTTTTCAGTTGATTTTTCCTTGATCTGGACAAATGAAAGCTCTCAGAGAAAGCCTGCATCAATGCAGATTTTCTCTACAGATGCAAATCACCTCCACAAAAAAAAAAAAAAAAAAAAAAANAAAAAAAAAAAAAAAAAAAAAAAAAAAAAAAAAAAAAAAAAAAAAAAAAAAAAAAAAAAAAAAGCTTTTCAGCTATTCTTGTATTTCTAGCCCTTCTGAAAAGCTGTCTTGCAACATGTCAAGGAGATATATTTTGTGATGAAATACTTTTATTTCCTTCAGAGTATACTCCTCTTTTTAAAGAACCACTTTAGGTCCAACCTTTGCACTTCTGGTTTCTTTTAAAGGGACCAAGCAGGATCCATGCATGAAAATTTATTTCATTCCATTTGAGTTTATTAACGGTTAAAGTTTACCTATAAGTCCATAGATCTCTTTGACATGTGATACTTGAATTTTAAAATGTGTGTGAATTTCACTTTTAGGCAGCGTTTGTGGAGCTGCTGGGACTTCACCATATTATGGACTCCTTTACGTTTGCCTGGGGCTTTTATGAAGTCCCACCAACCTCAGATGAAAATGTCACTGTGACTGAGACAAAATTCAACAACGTTCTTGTTCGGGTATATGTGCCAAAGAGGAAGTCTGAAGCACTAAGAAGGGGGTTGTTTTACATCCACGGTGGTGGTTGGTGTTTGGGAAGTGCTGGTAAGTGAATGTTTTGAGAAATCTCTGTCACTGAGGCAGTTCGCAAACATTTTACTAAGTCTTCAGTAGGTATATATGCCCTTTGGCATGGACATTACCATCTCTTTTATCTTCTCATGCTTTGTTCTTCTGGCAATGGTTTACTTTTCCTTGAAGCTTTATATCACTCTTTTCTACGTATGCATTTCCTCATCAATTCAGGTAAATGTGAGAAGACACTTTTTTTTTTCTATTTATCGCAATTACTCTAAGAAAGCCTTGTTACTTCTGTCATTCTCCACTTGATATTACAGAACCATTTAATGTTTTATCCATTTATTCACATATTTACTACATGCCTGGTAATATTTTAAGATCTTTGGATATATTTTTGAACAGACAAAATTTCCTCATGCCTGTAATCCCAGCACTTTGGGAGGCCAAGTGCTTTCGTGGATCACTTGAGGTCAGGAGTTCGGGACCAGCCTGGCCAACACGGTGAGACCACGTCTCTACTAGAAAAATATAAAAATTTAGCTGAGCATGGTTGAGGGTTGCCTGTAATCCCAGCTAATGGGTAGGCTGAGGCAGGAGAATCGCTTGAATCCAGGAGGTAGAGGTTGCAGTGAGCTAAGATTATGCTGTTGCGCTTCAGCCTGGGCAACAGAGCAAAACTCTGTCTCAAAAAAAAAAAATTATTGTCTTCTTAGAGCTTACATTCTAATGGAGACAATCTTTATTGATAAGTAAGTAAATAATACAGTGTGTTTTAAAGTGATAAATGTAGGAAATAATTGGCCAGAATGTTAGAAGAAAAACCTTAGACAAATTAAATTTAACAGAGTTTAATTGGGCAAAGAACTACTTGTGGATCAGGTACCCTCCCTAACCAGAATAGATTCAGAAAGTCTCCAGCACGGCCTCATGGTCGAGGAGAGTTATGGATGTAAAATGGAAAGTGACATTCAGAAAACAGAAGTGAGGCACAGAAATAGCCAGATTGGTAACAGCTCAGCATTTGCCTTATTTGAACCTGGTTCAACAAGTTGGTTACCTTTGGCTGAAACTCAGTAACTGGGAGAAGAGTAGGTTACACATCCAATTGAGTTACAACTCACTATGTATCGAGAAAGCTTTAAAATATGGAAAGAGGCAGCTTTAGACTAAACTTAATTTAGCAAAAATAATGAAGGTTGCATATTTCTTGATGTATAGAATTACAGCCGAAAGAGAAATATATTTAGAAGTGGAAGCACTGGAATAAAAGTCCTGATTGTGTTAGAAAATCACTTCACCCAGCTGAGTCCTAGGGCTCTTAATATTCATTTGTTTACCTCCAATGAATACAGTATAGATTAGCAGCAGGAATGAAGATAGGGCTGGGTCTTTTAAGTTAAGAGCTCTGAACTCGAGGGAGGAAGCATAAATTAATCCTGAAAAGAAAATGTTACAGGCTCAAAACTAAGCAAATTTGTCCATTGATGTGGGAAGTTAAAAGAGAAAAAGACAGAAAGAAAAAAGAGAGAGAGGGATCTGAGTGAGTGTCTCGTTTCTGACAGGATGACTGGGAGGGTGAGGACAGACCTCTGGGGAATGCAGGCAAAATTGTTGGGTGAAGGAATAAGCAGGCAGCAAAGCACTGAAGTGGTTAAAAAGTCAGAAAATGAAAAGAAAGCCAAAGAAGGTGAGAACCTCAAGAAAGAGGAAATAATGAAAGTACTGGATGATGTAGAGATGCCCAGTAAGTAGGATGGAATTATGTCTCTTGGATGTTGAACTTTTTTTTTTTGTTTTTGAGACAGATTATTGCTTTGTTACCAGGCTGGAGTGCAGCGGCTCAGTCTCGGCTCACTGCAACTTCTGCCTCCCGGATTCTAGTGATTCTCCTGCCTCAGCCTCCTGAGTAGTTGGGACTATAGGCGTGTCATGCCCAGCTAATTTTTATATTTTTAGTAGATATGAGGTTTCACCATGTTGGCCAGGATGGCCTCAATCTCTTGACCCTGTGATCCACCCGCTTCAGCTTCCCAAAGTGCTGGGATTACAGGTGTGAGTCACTGCGCTCAGCCGAATGTTGAACTTTTTATGTTAATGTTGAGGAGAGACTTGCTGACATGATGTGATATACACAGAGAAACAAATTACAGCAAGCAAAAGTGAGAGGCAAGAAAATAAAATGGTGAGAATAATTGCTGGCCTTAAAGGGACTTAGTTGTGAAATAAATAAGATAATAATAGATTGAGAGTTGAGTAAGAGCATTTTCTTTTATTGTTGTGTGAGAGAAATATAAACAAGTTGGCAGACTGAAATAAAGGAAGGCAATAAATAGAAATATGTTAGTGAAGAAATGGGCTCGGAGTGTTGACTGGTAGCTACACATCCCAGAGGAAATAAAAGGGAAGAAGATTTAGAGCACTGGTAAAATAATTGGATAAAAATTAAAAGGTTGGAAATGGATAAAAGGAGCATTAAGTCTTCCTCCTAGATGAGAGAAGAAGAGGCAAAGACACGCCTCAGCTAGGTACATTCTTAAAATAGTAGTACAGGTGTGAGCAGTAAATTCCAATGTTTGTTTAAGGGGCCTAGTTCTATTCCAGTTATATTCAGGTGTTTTCTCTATCGTCCCATGCTGAGGTGATCCTTCCACGTTGCTGCATTTCTGTCTCTATCTCCTTGGCTCACATATCTGACAACATACTGGTCAAGTTAGTGACTTGTCTTTTATCTTTGTATACGCATCATCTAAAACAGAGCCAAATCAATACCTCCTTCCAGTAAGAGAGTCGGGTTAATCTAGAGAATAAGGCTGACATAGAAGGACCAATGGCAAAATGTGCAGGACAAAAAAAAAAAAAAACAGAAAGGATCCGGAAGGAACCTTCTCTCATAGAGGTTAATTTTAAAAGCCCCTCCCACATCCTTGCTGGGCCAAAGCATGTGCAGGACAAAAAAAAAAAAAAAAAAGAAAGGAAGAGCATTAGGAGTTTCACTGGGAAACTTGAATTCCACTGAATTGTGGATGGATGACGTCTTATAGATAAATACAGTGTTAAATTTGTCTCTTGTGTTTTAAGGTAAAATAGAACTGCCAGAATGTGAAAGAAGTGCAGCAGGATTTTGTGAAGGAAACAGCCTTCTCTTCATTTATCTATTTTACTAATATCTTACTTTTTTCCTTTTATTTCAGCTTCACATAGTTATGACTTGCTGTCAAGATGGACGGCAGACAGACTTGATGCTGTTGTCATATCAACCAAGTAAGATCTGTGCTGTTTTATTTTCCGGCCAGATGCCTAACATGCCAGGATTCTGTCAGACTCCTTTTTTTTTTTTTTTTTTTGAGACGTAGTCTGTCACCCAGGCTGGAGTGCAGTGGCAGGATCTTGGCTCACTGCACCCTCCGCCTCCTGGGTTCAAGCGATTCTCATGCCTCAGTCTCCCGAGTAGCTGGGATTACGGGCGCAAACCACCGCTTCTGGCTAATTTTTGTGTTTTTAGTAGAGACAGAGTTTCACCATGTTAGCCAGGCTGGTCTCGAGCTCCTGACCTCAAGTGATCCGCCTGCCTCGGCCTCCCAAAGTGTTGAGATTACAGGCTTGAGCCACATGCCCAGCCGATTCTCTCAGCTTTCTTGGCCCATGCATGATTATGCCAAAAGTAAATGTTTCTCAGATGACAGTAGCAGGCAATTGCAAGTGAGTGCTCGGTCTAACCTGATTAGAGTTGAGAAAAAAAAAAATCGGTGTATGTGTGTACAAGTGTTATTTAGGCAAAAAGAAACAGCATAAAGATTTTTTTTCACATCAATTTAAACTGTATCATTTATGGACATAATTACCTGGATGGTAATTCCTTTCAACCCTTAATTTACAGTCTTTAGAAATGAGTCAGAGGATCATCTATAAAAGTGCATCATAAATAATTTCCATCTCAGATGGTCATTGGGAGGAGGAAGTGATAACATCCTTGAAACAGACTTAGTCCAGTGTATAGCACTTGGTGAGCCTAAAATATAGGCTGCATAATTCTAAATATTTAAAATATAGCCTATATTTTAAATACAGGCTATACTGGGATAAGTGTATGAAAATTTCATCAAATTAAACAAAACAGAGGAGTTCATATAAAATTGTGTTAGATGAATAATCCATGTATGGAAACAACACTTAGGGACAGTAAAATTAGGGGTGAACTGCTGGGTAGACCCATGCCAGAGCAGTATATATTTAAATTTAAACTTCAGAAAGTAAATGAAAAGTGAAAAAATAACATGCTCATCACCATTTGTCAAGTTATATCATTATTACAAAATTGGGACATAATCATGCTCAATATTTGGTTTTATGTGATCACTCGTAAATGTAGTGGCTAGAATAATATTTTGTAAAATGCAATTAGAAAATTCAGGCTAAAGCTGTTTTGCATTTCAACTTTATTCTTAAAGAGAATTTTCTTAAACATGGCAAGTCAAATTACAGTGTAAAACCTACACCTGTTATTAGATTCATTGACATGACTAATAAATCACATATACTTGAAAGATAAAATAGACTTTTAAATATTTATGCAAATATATGCCTTGCCTTCAAATAGTCTCATTTTATTTATATTAAAGATGAAGAACTCCAATATTAAAAGAGATAATTTTGGTGATATTTAAATTTAAATGGCCAATAAGCACATGAAAAGTTGCTGAATATCATTAGTCATTAGAGAAATGCAAATCAAAACTACAATGAAATACCACTCCACAGTCACTAGGATGGGTATTATATATGGATTTAAAAAGATAATAACAAGTGTTAGTAAGGACATGGAAAAAAGGGAATCTTCTATACTGCTGGTAGAAATAAACACTTTGGCAGCTCCTTGAAAGGTCAAACAGAGTTACCTTATTGACCCAGTATTTCCATTTCTAGGTGTACACACAAGAGAAATGAAAACATTCCCATATAAAAATTTGTATGTTCATACAATTATTATTCATGAACAAAGTGGAAACAACTCAATGTTCATCAACTGATAAGTGGATGAATAAAATGTGGTATATCTATACAATTGAATAGTTAAAATTCAATTGAATATTTAAATAAAATGTGGCATACTATACAAATATTCAATCATATAAATATACCACATTTTATCCATTTATCAGTTAATTATTTGTTAATAGGACTGCTACAGCATGGACAAATCTTGAAAATATTATGCTAGATGAAACAAGCCAGTCATAAATGGCAAGTTTTGTAATTCCATTTATATAAAATGTCTAAAACAGGGCAAATGTATAGAGATGGAATGAAGATTAATGGTTGCCTGTGGTTGGGTTTGGAGGATTGAGGGAAATGAGAAGTCACTACTAATGGGTATAGGATTTCTTTTTGGCATGATGAAAATGTTCTAAAATTGGTTGTGGCAATGGTTGCACAACTCTGAATATATTGAAAACCACTGAATTGCATACTTTTAATGGGTTAATTTTATGGGTTATAAATATCTCAATAAAATGATAATATTAAAAATTAAGAACTTATCTTCATCAAAAGACATTGATAGAAGTCTTAAAGTTGGTGTGTGTGTATACCTGTACGTATACAAATATGTATACTATAAAAAATTTTAAATACATATATATTTTTTCAAATCCAAAATATACAAACACCTACCAATTAATAGACGTATAGGGGAAAGATTCAGAAAGACAATTTACTGAAAAGGATATCCAAATAATCAATAAATATATGAAAATGTACTATATACATCAGGAAAATACAAATTAAGACTGTTACAAGATACCTTTATATACTTGATATTATAGATAAAATGCGAAAGACATAAAACACCAAGAGTTGATAAGGTTTTGAATCAATAGCACTTTCATAAGCTCTGGTTTGAAAATAACTTGGTAAACTACTTAACGAAACTCTTGAACATTATTAAGTAAAGCTAAGCGTTTATGCATAGCTCTGGTACTGTCAATATCAGCGCAATACACACGTATGGTCACCAAAATCGTGTTCTAGAATATTCATAGCAACACTGTTTGTGCCTGAGACTGCAAGCAGCCTAAATCCCCATAACATTTTTTAAGTTGGAAAAATATTTATTTAGTATTTATTTGTTTAATTATTTATAAGAACATTTAATATGTAATCTACCCTCTTAGTGAATTTTAAAATTTGCATTATTTTTTACTATAGGTACAACGTTATACAGCAGATCTGTAGAGTTTATTCAACTTGTTTGACTGAAACTTTATGCCAGCTCATCAGTAACCCCCCAATTCCTCCCCCCGTAGCCCTTGCAACCATCTTTTTACTCTGATTCTATCAATTTGGCTGTTTTAGACACCTTATATAAGTGGAAACATACAGTATTTATCCTTCTTATTTCACTTAGCCCATCAGCATGTTAATGGGTAAATGATTTGTGATATGTTCAAACAATAGAGTGCTGTACAGGAAGATAGAAGCAATGTGAATGAGGCTCAGAAACATAGTGTTGAGCAATTGAAACCAGATACATAGGAGTATATGCTATATGATTTCATTTCTTTAAAGGCCAAAACGAGGGAAAAATAATTTATGCTGTTATGTCAAATTAGTGGATACTTCAGGAATTAAAGGGAGTAAACAAAAGATTTCTGGGGTGCTGGCAATGTTATATTTCATGATCTGGGTGCTGGTTATATGGCTATGTTCGGTTTGAAAATTAAATAAATTATATACGTGTGTGCACTTCCAGCATGTATTAAGTTGGTGCAAAAGTTATTGTGGTTTTTGCCATCACTTTCACACCACCCTAATGTATTATGCTTTAATAAAAACAAACAACAAAAGATGTGTAAACTGTTTTCTCTCTACAGCTACAGGTTAGCACCTAAGTATCATTTCCCAATTCAATTTGAAGATGTATATAATTCCTTAAGGTGGTTCTTACGTAAAAACCTTCTTGCAAAATATGGTGTGAACCCTGAGAGAATCGGTATTTCTGGAGATAGTGCAGGAGGGAATTTAGCTGCAGCAGTGACTCAACAGGTATGATGTGCATAATTTCTATGCTTTTAAAAAATAGTCTACTTATAAACATATTTAATGCACGTATTAAAATATAAATGCAAATAGGAGATGTTAATTTTTTTGAAACTATTAAAGAGAATATTGAGAAGAAATGACTAAAACATTATAATGTCAATCCCTGCTTCTATCATAGATTTTTTTCTTTCTTAAGGGAACTCTTTGGATAAATCACTCATTTAAAATTATAGGCTGCATGTGGTAGTTCACAACTGTAATTCCAGTGCTCTGGGAGGCCAAGACAGAAGAATCACTGGAAACCAGGAGTTTGAGAGCAGACTGGGAAACATAGTGAGACCTTGTCTCTACAAAAATAAAAAAAGAAAAAGAAAAATTAACCTGGCATAGTAGTGTGAGCTTGTAGTCCTAGCTACTTAGGAGGCTGAGGTAGAAGGATCTCTTAAGCCCAGGAGTTCAAGGTTACAGTAAGCTGTAATCACACCACTATATTCCAGGCTGGGTGACAGAGTAAGGCCGTGTCTCTAAAAAGCATAAAAAATAAAATAACATGTCAGTAAAATATTATACTAAGTGATGAATGAGATCATATAATTGTGAGACTAATGACCCTATTACCTTATTAGAGGTTCAGATGAATTTATATAATCTTTGATGATATATTCCTCTATTACCAAAATAATCATCCTATTTTTAGAAAATTGTCAACACATTCAAAGATTCCCATGGTACTTGCAAAGAAGAAATATGAAGAATTCAAATGATTTTTTGTATGTATATGTAAAATCAGATCTCTTTATCTGTAATAATGGTAATATAATAATAACTGGCATTTTTACCCCAGATTATATGTAGAATTGGTTTCGATTTTATGATGAAGAAGAAACACTGCTACTGGTTTAAACATCTAAACTATTTTCCCATGTAGTAGTGGGAAATAGCTAAACTATTTTCCCAAGGATGGAGTGCTAGTCAGGAGAAGAAGCTACCTAAGATCTTCTAAGATCAGAAGTAGAAGGTTAGATTTTATTAGTTAACTTCAGTTACAAATGAGGGTTCTAAAGCAATTTTAAAACATTGTTGTTATTTGTTTTGTTAATTATATTTATTTATATATTTTTTACACCAAAAGTGTTTTGACTGCTAGAGTGTTGGCCAATATTTTCAAAAGTAAAGAATTACAGTTGCACTTTGTTTCAACCATAATATAGAACAAGTATTTGAAACTTCACAGGTAGATTACTAATCATTACTATGGATTTCATAATGAAACAGCAAAAGCATTAGACTGGACGTCAGGAAATTTGGAGATGCAATAATCTCTAGATTTGATATTGGCTTAATCTCTCTAAACATTCATTTTTCTCACCTGTAAGAAAAATGAACTCTTTCAACTTTAAGGAGTTCTTTGAGGGTCATATGAGTAAATTTATATAAAAATACCTGGCAACTTGTAACAATCTTTATAAACAGTCTCCAAAATGGTCTGTTTTGATACTTGTAGTTAAAAATGTAGGTAAATACCACAATTTGCAAAATATTTGGGGTTACATCTAATAATATGTGTATTTTTATGTAGAAGTTCTATACATCTTTTATAATACATTATGCACTTTGAAAACATGTAAAATTAATTTTAACCTATATGTTCTCACAATTTAAAACACATTTTGTAATATTTCATTTCTATAAATCCCCTTTTTTCCTACCTGGTATTTGTATATCCCTCTTTACAGACCACTGATTATCACAAATATTAGCACAACAGGCTTGATGTGAAAGAGTGATGCTGATAGACCATTTCACACAAAAGGCTTGCGCATATTTCCTAAAGTGTCATGTCACTTTAGCATCAAAGCCATCTCAGAAACCTCTATTAAGTGACCCTTCTTCTTCATGACAAAGCTTATTGGTATACTGGTATATTTTAATAAACTTTTTTTTTTTTTGAGACAGTATCTCACTATGTCTCCCCGGCTGGAGTGCAGTGGTGTTTTCTCAGCTCTCTGTAACCTTCGCCTCACAGGTTTAAGCAATTCTCGTATCTCAGCCTCCTGAGTAGCTGGAATTACAGTTGTGTGCCACCACGCCTGGCTAATTTTTGTATTTTTAGTTGAGACTGGGTTTTGCCATGTTGGCCAGCTAGTCTCGAACTCTTGACCTCAAGCAATCCACCCACTTCAGCCTTCCAAAGTGCTGGGATTACAGGAATGAGCCACTACATGAAGACTATTTTGATAAACTCTTACCTTAGTGGATGAGAATATTTATGCAGTTCTTCTGGTTATCATTCCTAGTAGAAAGATTAGGACATTAACTTTCTAATGATCATTTAGATCTTTTTGTATTATCCATAAAACATATATGACAGAAGATTTTCCTTAAGTTGAAAATATCCTTTAATTGATGAACATCTAGTTCTAGAAACACATTTTGAATGTTAGAAAGTTTGTTGTGATGGTATGTTTCATTTATTACTTAAGTCTTTATGAGATTATGAGGAGTTAGATAGGTAAAGAGAAGAGAGATAGTAGATCGACAGATAGATAATCTTATTAGGGTTATTTCATTGTTTTAAATGAAAATAATTTGTGCAAATCATCTTGTTTCTCAGCTCCTTGATGACCCTGATGTCAAGATCAAACTCAAGATCCAGGCTTTAATTTATCCTGCCCTTCAGCCTCTTGATGTTGATTCACCATCATATCAAGAAAATTCACATTTTCCATTTCTGCACAAGTCACTCATGGTCAGATTCTGGAGTGAATATTTTACTACTGATAGATCACTTGAAAAAGCCATGCTCTCTAGACAACATGTACCTGTGGAATCAAGTCACCTCTTCAAATTTGTTAATTGGAGTTCCTTGCTCCCTGAGAGGTTTATAAAAGGATATGTTTATAGCAATCCAAATTATGGTAGTTCTGAGCTGGCTAAAAAATATCCAGGGTTCCTAGATGTGCGGGCAGCCCCTTTATTGGCTGATGACAACAAGTTACATGGTTTACCCCTGACCTATGTTGTCACCTGTCAATATGATGTCTTAAGAGATGATGGACTCATGTATGTCACACGACTTCGGAACGCTGGAGTTCAGGTGACTCACAACCATGTTGAGGATGGATTCCATGGAGCATTTTCATTTCTAGAACTAAAAATTAGTCACAGGCTGATAAAACAGTATATTGAGTGGCTAAAGGAAAATCTTTAGTAAAACATGTATCTATAATATATTTTTTATATTAAGTAAATCTCAAAACCTCAGAAACCTTGCATTAGAAATTGGTCTTGTTTTGAATGGTCTAGTTAAGTTCCACATGTAGCATGATAATTGTTAAGTAGTCATTTTTCTGGTTTTCTTTTTCTTACTCTGGGATTTCATTTCAATTTTCTACATTAACTATCTGCTATGCCTGAGATTTTCCTTCTTACACTGTTAATCTTCCTTTTAAAAATATTGTGTTCTTGTATGCTTTAGTTTTGTGTATTGGCTGCTATTTACAATTACAGGAGAATAAATGTGAGCAAATATAGCCTGTCTGAGTAATGTCAAGATTTTAATCAATGTTTATTTACAACCTAAAACATTCCTCATCACAGGTATGAATTCAATGCCAATTCTTTTCAAAAGCAGTTGCCCCAGTGAAATGTCAATTTATTACCACTGTAAATTTCTCTATGAAACACTTTTATAATTTAGGTACCAAGTGTTACACTAATCAATGCTAAAAAAAAAAAAATCACTGTGGTACTTTGGGGAAATAGCTGCTTTTTATTTGAGGAAAGGTAGAGAAACTGAAGTTTAGTAAAGGCAGAAAAAATATTGGATGAACATAGACCTAACAGCCAAAGACTACAGATGTGGAAGTCACTGACCAGTGATAGAAAAATTAGAGAATATTTTAATCTGTGAAAAGCCCATCCTGATACTGCAGGAAGATAAACAAATAAAATGGAATATATTTAAGGCTGGGTGGAATTACTTGTATTGACTGTGAAATATGTAGTGTACTCTTATAAAGAAGCCCAGCATGGGCAGTCTTCAGATGGTGCAGGAGCTCCACACAGTTACCAGGGAATAAATCTTTTTCTTTGTACTCACTGATATGACTTGGCTGTGTCCCCACCCAAATCTCATCTTGAATTGTAACTCTCACAATTCCCATGTGTCATGGAGGAACCTGGTGAGAGGTAATTGAATCATGGAGGTGGGTCTTTTTTGTGCTGTTCTCATGTTAGTGAATAAGTCTCACAAGAGCTGGTGGTTTTAAAAATCAGAATTTCCCTGCACAAGCTCTCTCTCTTTGCTTGCTGCCATCCATATAAGACATGTCTTGTTCCCCCTAGTCTTATGCCATGATTTTGAGGCCTCTGCAGTCATGTGGAACTGTAAGTCCATGAAATCCCTCTTGTTTCTCAGTCTTGACATGTCTTTATCATCAGCATGAAAAGGGACTAACACCCTCATCATCTGCAGTGTCTGCTTGTGTGTGCATACTTATTGTTCTTTTAAGTACCATCTAAATATTCTATCTAGGGAGAGAAGGGGCATGGCAGAAGAGCTGTATTTGAGGTAATTTTATTTTATCAGGAAAACAGTAGTAATCTCAGTAGATCCAACAAAAAGTCTTCTTCTATTTCATTTTCTAGGATGGTGTCACAAAAAATTTTGCAAAATAGAATTTTAGTAGCTGGGCAAATTATAGTTTCTCATTCAAAAAATAAGGCAATACCCTAGCCAGAGCAGTCAGATGAGGAAGAAATAAAGGATATCCAAATCAGTAAAGAGGAAGTTAAATTGTCAGCTTGCTAGTGATATGATCATATACCTAGAAAACCCTAAAGACTCATCAGATCATAGATGATAAATGAATTCAGTAGTTTCAGGATAGAACATAAAAGTACACAAATCAGTAACTCTGCTATACACCAACAGTGACCAAGCTGAGAATCAAATCAAGAACTCAATACCTTTTACAACAGCTGGAAAAAATGAAATGAAATGAAATCCTTAGGAATATATCTAACCAAGTAAGTAAAAGATCTCTACCAGAAATAGTATAAAACACTACTGAAAAAATTCATAGATGACATGAACAAATGGAAATACAATCAACATTGTAAAAATAATCATACTGCCAAAAGCAGTCTATAATGCCAATGGAATTCCCATCAAAATACCATCGTTATTCTTCATAAAACTGGAAAGAAACAATTCTGAAATTCATGTGATACCAAAGAACCCATAGAGCCAAAGCAAGACTAACCAAAAAGAAAAAATCTGGAGGCATCACAAAACCTGACATTAAATTACATTACAAGGCTACAGTCACCAACACAGCAAGGTACTGGTATAAAAACAGGCATGTAGGCCAATGGAACAGAATAGAGAACCAAGAAATAAAGCCAAATATTTATAGCCAACAAAGCAAATGAAAACATAAAGTGGGGAAAGGACAACATGGAGAAGAATGAAACTGAATCCTTATCTTTCTTCTTATACAAAAATCAATTCAAGATGATTCAAAGTGTTAAATCTAAGACCTGAAACCATAAAAATTATAGAAGATAACATTGGGAAAAAACCTCTTCTACCTATTGGCTTAGGCAAAGTGTTCATGATCAAGAACCCCAAAACAAATGCAACTAGAACAAAAATAACTAACACACTTCTGCACAGCCAATGAAATTAATTAATTAATTAATTATGCTAACACACTTCTGCACAGCAAATGAAATAATCAACAGAGTTAAGAGACAACCCACAGAGTGAGAGAAAATCTTTGCAATCAATGCCTCCAACGAAAGAGTAATATTCAGAATCTATAAGGAACTCAAACAAATCAGAAAGAAAAAAACAACCCCATCAAAAAGTGGGCTAAGGACATGAATAGACAATTCTTAAAAAAAAGATATACAAGTAGCCAAGAAACATGGAAAAATGTTCAGCATCACTAATTATCATTGAAATGCAAATCAAACCACAATGCAATACCACCTTACTCCCACAAGAAGGCTACAATTAAAAAAAAAAATAGATGTTGGTGTGGACGTGGTGAAAAGGAAATACTTTTACACTGTTGGTGGGAATGTAAAGTAATGCAACCACTATGGAAAACAGTATGGAAATTTCTTAAAGAACTAAAAGTAGAGCTACCATTTGATCCAGTAATTCTACTACTGGGTATCTACTCAGAGGAAAAGAAGTCAGTATACGAAAAAGACACTTGCACTGCACATGCATGTTTATAGTGGCACAATTGACAATTTACAATAGCAAAAATATGGAACCAGCCTAAATGATCATCAACCAACAAGTGGACAAAGAAAATGTGATATATATGCATAAATATACGGTATATAGGCATGCATGAAATATGGATATATATATATATATGTGCATGCCATGGAATACTACTCAGCCATACAAAGAAATGAAATAATGGAATTTGCAGCAACCTGGTTGGGTTTGGAGACCATTACTCTAAGTGAAATAACTCAGGAATGGAAAACTAAATATATGTTCTCACTTATAAGTGGGAGCTAAGCAATGAGGACACAAAGGCATAAGAATGATATAATGAACCTGGAGACTTAGGGGGAAGGTTGAGAGGGCTGTGAGGGAAAAATACCACACATTGGGACAGTGTACACTGATTAAGAGGTGAGTGCAACAAAATCTTAGAAATTCCCACTAATAATTTATCCATGTAACCAAACACCACCTGTTCCCCCAAAACTATTAAAATAATTTAAAAAAGTAAAAAAGTCCAGGGGATAAAAGGATAAAAGTTGGAAAAAAAATAAAAGCACTTAATCTGTAAGACAGGTCAAAAGAAAGAAAGAAAGAAAGAAAGAAAGAAAGAAAGAAAGAAAGAAAGGAAGAAAGAGAGA